ATGGTGGAGGCCAGCAACGCGACCCGAATGCCATGGAAGTAGACGCCCTGACACGCAGAGGCAAGGACAAAGGCGGCAAGGACAAGGGTTCCAAGAGCGGTCGGGGCAAGGGCAAGGCCAAAGAGGACGAGGGCATCAACCTACGCGCGGCGTGGGGACGAGATGTTGAATGTTGGACGTGCGGTCGGAAGGGACACAAGCAGGAGGATTGCTGGTACAACCCGAAGGGCAAGGCGAGCACCAAGGACAGGACAGGCAAGGGCCGTGGGGCAGGACCGAAGTAAGTCAACGAGCTGCTGGGCCAGGACGACGCCACGACTTATCCGGGTACATCGACGGTGGCCGTTTCGGCGTCGGCAAGCCAGGCGGCTGGACCAGGAGTGCGCCAGGTCACCTACGCGATCGACGAGCAGTACGAGTCCGGCTACATCTTCGCGGTGACGGAGTGGGCTGGCGTCAACAGTTACGTGACTAGGATCACGGATCGGAAGGAGGCCGGGTACCCGATCGAGGTGCCGGTGGACAATTGCGCCGACGAGCACGTCTGCAGCCCCAGCGATTTCGGGTGGATCGCGTTGAGGGGGAGCAAAGACCCCAACCTCGAGGCGGCGAACGGGCAGCGCATCCAGCATTACGGCGAGAGGGAGGTCAAGATGAGGCTGAAGGATGGTCGCATCATCGTGACGACGTTCCAGGTTTGCGACGTGAAGGGCCCCATCCTCTCCGTCGGCAAGTTCTGCGCGAAGGACGCGGCGAGGGGTGCCCACTTCGACAAGCGCGGCGGGGTGTTGAATCACGAGCTGGCTGGCAAGGTGCAGGTGGATCGCGTGAAGAACCACTACTCGTTGAAGTGCTGGGTGGGCCAGTACAACACGACGGCGACAATGATGGGGCAGGGCGGCATGATGGCACCGACCCTGGAGGGAGGCAGCTCAGGGAGCGCGAGGCCAGCCCAATCTTCACCAGCGGGTTCCGGCGAGGCTCTGCCGGAACGCGCTGAGCGCTCCGTGGAGCCAGGCCCGAGGGCGCAGCTTCGACGACAGGAGCACGCAGTGGTCCCAGCTCGAGCTGACCAGGAGGTGTTACAGGACTTGCAGCCGCGGGTCCAGGCTCCAGAGGCCGAGGTCGAGCGCGTTGAGGCGGAGATCACCCCAGCTAGAACCCTGCCGGGCCCCAAGCAGCCGAGCAAAGAGGAGATAGAGATGCACAACTTGCTCCACGACCCCCCGATGCCGTGGTGCGACATCTGCGCGCAGGCCAAGGGGGTCGACGCCTGCCACCAGGGCGTTGCCAAGAAGCCAGTGCCAGTCATCCAGTTCGACTACGCGGAGGCTGGCGACATACCTGCGCAAGGCGAGGAAGAGGTGCCGAACTTCGACTTCGCGGTGGCGGTCGACATGGCCTCGGGCTTCCCATGGGCATCAGCGGTGCTCAGCCATGGCAAGGAGGACGTGTCTGCGATAGCGTCGTTCAGGTAGTACCTCTCGGAGCTGGGCTACAACAAGGTCGTCTTGCAGCCCGACGGCGAGCCAGCGGCAGTAGCCTTCATCAACCAGGTAAAGGCGAGGATCGCGAGGATGGAGGCGCCGCCGTGCGAGATCATCGTGCAGATATCGAAGCGCTACAGCCACCAGAGCAACGGGGGAGCTGAGCGCATGGTGCCGACGATCCGCAACCAGGTGAAGGCCTACAATCTCCAGATCGAGAGGCATTCGGGGCTCAGGATCAGACCCGACTCGAAGTTGCTTACGTGGTTGCCGACACACGCAGCTTGGCAGTGCGCGCGGTTCCACAAGAGGGCGGACTCGGGCATGACGCCCTACGAGAAGATCAGGAGGGTGCCCTACAGCAACACGATCCTGATGCCGGGCGAGGCGGTGGCCTGCCGCCGCCCAGGGGCTCTCCTGAACAAGCTGGAGACGGCCTGGCTGGAGGGAGTATGGCTGGGGCGCGACTCCAAGACCGACGAGCACCTCATCGGCGCGCCGAACGGTCTGGTGCGCAGCCGAGCGCTGAAGCGCCGAGTGGAGGACAGGCGCTGGGACGTCGCGCTGCTGGAGGCCATGAAGTGGAACCCCTGGTTCGCGACGCCGACGATCAGAGGCAGGCCGCCGAAGGTGAGGAGCGACCAGGAGCCCATCATCATCGGCCCGCCCCCACTGCAGCCCGCGGCAGGAGTGGCGCCAGGGAGGGCGCCTCAGGCGGCGGCGGGCGCTGGGCCAGCGCCGGCGGCCGAGGCAGGCGCCGCAGGCGCAGCGGCCCCGCCGGCGCCCGCAGCAGGCGCAGCGGCCCCGCCAGCGCCCGCAGCAGGTGCAGCAGCCGCAGCGGCAGCGCCATCAGCTCCAGTACCGATGGACGTGGTAGGCGCAAGCTTGGAGCCGCACGAGAGGGCGAAAAGGGCGCGCCTGGGCGCGATGCCGATGCCCCCGCCAGCGCCGGCGCCAGCGGGTTCCGGCGGAGCCCTGCCGGAACGCGCTGTGCACACTTCTGGCGCTGCTCCGCCGCCGGCGGGAGTGCGCCCCGGCGGGGCCCAGGCAGTGGCAGTGCAACGTGATGGAGGCACTGACGACGCGGAACCGCCGAGCCAGCGCAGGAGAGTTGCGGCGTTGCGTGAGGTGTGCGAGGAGTAGGAGCCGGCGAACTTCTACGAGGCGCGGCTCAAGCACATCGCGAAGCTGACCAAGGAGGACGGCCAGATCGTGAGGGTGGTGCCGAGAGCGGAGGCGACGTCGAGGCCTCTGTCGGGACGCTGGGTGGAGGGCCAGCACGATGATGGAGCTCTGAAGGCTCGCTGGACCACGAGGGGGTTCGAGCGGGTCTTGCAGGGCAACGAAGACTTCTTCTCGGCGACGCCCGCCACGATGCACTTGAAGATGATGCTCGTGGACGCGGCGAGGAAGGGCCACGCGGCGGCGATCGGGGACTGCAGCGGCGCGTTCTACCAGGCGCCCTTGGATCCTGACGGCACTGGCGAGAAGGTCTACATCGAGCCTCCGCCGGAGGCTGGCCTGCCGCCCGACATGGTCTGGGAGGCGGTCTCGGCCTTCCCGGGGCTGAAGGGCAGCCCGAAAGCTTGGGGCGCACACTCCAGCAAGGTGCTGACCAGGGATATGCAGATGGAGCAGTCGCGCTACGACGGATGCATCTTCTTCAAGATCGAGGGCGACTACGACCAGAAGGCAGGGAGGCACATCGACGACTTCCTTGCCACGGGGTCCAGGGAGCAGGTGAACTCGTTCCTCGGGGAGGCCAAGGAGAAGCTGAACATGCAGGATTCGGTGAAGCTCTTCGAGGATGGTGACGAGGGCCGCCTGCTGGCGCTCAACATCAGGAAGGTTGACGGCGGGTTCACGTTGCAGGGCAACCCGCTCCTGATCACCGACATGGCCGAGCTGCTGGGCATGGAGAGCGCGAAGACCTCGGAGGCGCCAGAGACCAGCAACGCCAAGAAGCAGCAGGACGACGACGAGGAGCTCAGCGCCCAGGACGCCGTGCTCTACAGGTCGTGCGTGGGCAAGGCGATGTACCTCAGCCACCAGCGGCCCGACATCCAGCACGTCGTCAACAAGCTGAGCAAGCAGATGAAGGCGCCCACGGTGAAGGCTTGGAGGATGCTCAAGAAATTGGTCCGCTACCTCTTGGGCACGCGCGAGGTCCACCAGCTGCTCGTGCCACGCGGTGGATCGGACTCCCTGAAGACGTACACTGATAGCGACTGGGCCGACGATCCAGACACCAGGAAGAGCATCTCGGGCGGCACGGTCATGATGTACGGCTGCTCGGTGCTCACGTGGGCTAGGACCCAGAAGACCCCGGCGTTGTCGAGCGCGGAGGCCGAGCCCTACGCCATCGGCTCAGGCGCGATCGAGACGTTGGGTGCCGACACGTTGCTGAAGGAGTGGGGCTATGGCGAGGCCGCGCCCGCGCTTATGACGGACTCGTCCTCGGCGCTCGCTGTTGCCAAGAAGCGGGGGCCAGGGCGGATGAAGCACATCGAGCTGAAGATGTTGGCGGTCCAGGACTGGGTCAAGGAGAAGCGGCTCCGTGTCGGCAAGGTGCCGACCGAGGCCAACCCGGCCGATCTCCTCACCAAGGCCCTGGCGAAGGAGAAGCTGGTGAGGCACGGCTGGGAGTTGGGCCTGCGCGGCGGGCCCTTCGGCTCGCTCTCCTGGAAGGCGGCTGTGACGGGCTAGACGTGAAGTGAATGGGGCTTGAGCCGACGCGCGGAGGTCCCGCGCGTGCCCGCCAGCCCGCCTGCAAGTGCAAGTACAGGACCGATCCTCGGTCGCGCCCGCTGGCGAGTGCTCCCCGCGGTCGCGAAGGGAGTGTCGAGGATCGTCGATACTGATCGTCACCAGCGGGTTCCGGCAGAGCCCTGCCGGAACGCGCTGTGCGCACTTGGATCTGTAGCCCCTTTTGGCACAAAACGAATCAAATAATAATGATAATAGTACTAATAATCCGAATCATAATAATAATAACAACAATAGTAATGATCAGAAGACGAAGCACAATGATTTTACGATTAACAATACTCGTACTAAGAATACGATTGCTAATAATATTAGTAGTAGTAATAATACCAGTGCGAATACTAGTGCTACTAATAATAATAATGATAATGATAATAATGATGCTGATGATAAGAAAAAGAAGAATAATGATAACAATACTAATAATACTACTAATACAAACAATAAGAAGACTAATAACGAGGAAAATAAGAAGAAGAATGAGGAGGAGGAGAAGAAGAAGAAGAAGAAGAAGAGGAGGAGGAGGAGGGGGAAGAGGTGGGGGATGTGGAGGAGGAGGAGGAAGAGTAGGAGGAGGAGGAGGAAGAGGAGGAGGAAGAGGAGGAAAAGGAGGAAAAGGAGGAGGAGGCGGAGGAGGAAGAGGAAGAGGAGGAGGAGGAAGAGGAGGAGGAGGTGGGAGGGGGGGGGGAGGATGCACGGGAGGTGCAGGAGGGTACAAATGTCGCTTTTGCGATCAGCCGCCGAGAGGCGGAGACCCGCGTGCAGCCCCGCTGGGTGCAGGGCCCTGGGCGCCGCTCCGAGCTGCAGCTCGAGGTGCAGCAGGCAGCGCTGGAGCTCTGCCGGCGGGGCGGCGGCGCGGCCGAGCTCCGCTGGGAGGTGCTCAGGGCAGCGATTAAATCGGGCACGTCCCTTTACAGGGAGAACGTTCAAACATATAAACCAAGGGGACGAATTTTGTTTTTTGCTATGTTTGAGCACTGTCGGACTATTTTCAATTGTTTTTTTCCGAACCTGCCTGTAGGAGGACATGCCCGATAAGGCAGCGATCGGGAGGGATACACCTGGCGCGAGGGTCGAGAGCAATCATAGTTTTGGCGTGGTGCCCTTGTGCTTTTCGCCGTTGGGTTCTGCGCATTGGACTGCTCCTTGTTTTGGATATCTCCGTGGGGCCTCGGGCTCTCGGCGATGGAGCCCACGTTCTTGATCCAAGTTATTGTGACCTTGCTTCGGCTGCGTTTTCGTCGGTCAGCGGCGGTTTTCTGGCCGTGGGACTCTTTCCAGCAGCTGCGCCTCGCCGAGAGCGTTCCGGGGCTGCCCGGATCGTCCAGAATGGCCGCCGGAGGCCCAAGCTATGGCCAGGAAACCACCGGGGAATTGGCTTGCTGGTTGGGACTGTGTGTGTGTGTGTGCGTGTGCGTGTGCGTGTGCGTGTGCGTGTGCGTGTGCGTGTGCGTGTGCGTGTGCGTGTGCGTGTGCGTGTGCGTGTGCGTGTGCGTGTGCGTGTGCGTGTGCGTGTGCGTGTGCGTGTGCGTGTGCGTGTGTGTGCGTGTGCGTGTGCGTGTGCGTGTGCGTGTGCGTGTGCGTGTGCGTGTGCGTGTGCGTGTGCGTGTGCGTGTGCGTGTGCGTGTGCGTGTGGGTGTGGGTGTGGGTGTGGGTGTGGGTGTGGGTGTGGGTGTGGTGTGGGTGTGGGTGTGGGTGTGGGTGTGGGTGTGGGTGTGGGTGTGGGTGTGGTGTGTGTGGGTGTGGGTGTGGGTGTGGGTGTGGGTGTGGGTGTGGTGTGGGGTGTGGGTGTGGTGTGTGTGTGGTGTGTGGGTGTGTGGGTGTGTGGGTGTGTGGGTGTGTGGGTGTGTGGGTGTGTGGTGTGTGGGTGTGTGGGTGTGTGGGTGTGTGGGTGTGTGGGTGTGTGGTGTGTGGGTGTGTGGGTGTGTGGGTGTGTGGGTGTGTGGGTGTGTGGGTGTGTGGGTGTGTGGGTGTGTGGGTGTGTGGGTGTGTGGGTGTGTGGGTGTGTGGGTGTGTGGGTGTGTGGGTGTGTGGGTGTGTGGGTGTGTGGGTGGGGGGGGAGCCTAGTTTTGAGGTGCGGGGTTTTCAAACGTTTTGCGACGTTTCTGGGTGGTTTCCCAGCCTGAGGATGCGGCGACGTCCGACGTCCCCCCCCCCCAATTCCGGTTCCCCCCGATCGTTGCCCCTCAGGTGTGCGCGTGGCCTCTGTCCATCGACATAGTCCTTTGTGGCGTCGCGGGGGGGAAAAGGAGTGGCGCAAGGCTTCTGGACGCTTTCGGCTGCTCTTGGGACTTTCCTCGCCGCGGGGTGTTTTCCAGCAGCTGCGCCTCGTCGAGAACGTTCTGGGGTTGCACGAACCGTGCCGATCGACCGCCGGGGTCCCGAGGCATAGCCCCTGTTCCTCCTTCTCTTCCTCCTCCTCCTCCTCCTCCTCCTCCTCCTCCTCCTCCTCCTCCTCCTCCCGTCTCCCCGGGACGCGAACAAAGCTTCGCCTCGCGAAGGACCCAACCATATGCAGCTGCGAACATCGCGAAGCAGGTGAGAGGGAGGAGGGGGCCTGGCAAGAGGATTGGAGGGAGGAGGGAACGGGGGGGGACGAGGAGGACGGAGGGACCAAGGAGGAGGGAGGGAGGAGGGAGGGAGGGAGGGGGGCGGGAGATGGGGAGGAAGGGGGGGGAGGAGGATGACCCAGCGGTGTCAGTCGAGCCTCTCTGCCGGTTCTCCGATGTCACGATGGCGCTCGCTGGGAGGTAGGGGCTTCGGGCATGGAGGGGGCGCGGGGTGCTGGAGGGGGGCGCGGAAGGGGTGCCGTCCTCCCGTTCCAGTACGCGGAAAAGCACAGGGCATAAGATGTTGCATTTCTACATTGCCAAGATTTGTGCAATTCATTCTGACGGTTCAAGCGTTGAGCATCAGATTGTCGCGGCACGCCTGGAGTTTAGCTCGAAAACAGATCGCGTTCTAGATAGGAGCAACAACGTGCATGTGTTGCAGGACAGCGACGCAGATGAGTATAGCCAAACAATTTGGGACGATTTGGTTGCTCAAAATGCTTGCGTGGCCCTCTGCCGCCTGTATGACCACGAGCTTTTTGACATCGCTGTCAAAAGCCACCATTCGCACACAGTGCCATCCAGGCACAATGCCAGACAACACGTTGTGGATGGTGCTACGCTGGCGAAGACCACATGGCAACTGTAACAAGCTGTTGGCGTCGTGCGTGGCTGGGAGCACGCCCTTGACGGCGGAGGGCAACTTCGCGGATAAGTATTTTGCAGATTTGCATTTCACGGCGACGCCGCCATCCGGGTGGATGCAACTTGCCGCGCGGGTGCGAGCTGCTCCCTTCATTGAAACGCACCCTTGCGTTATTGCCGCTTCGGCCCGCCCTAAACAAAGGCACTCGGGCCCCGCACTGGGAACCCAAGGGCCTCGCATCCTACAGGGCCCCCGCATGTGCCGGGCGTCGCCACTGACAGGTGCCCCTCCCCCCTCCTTCCCTCGGGCGCGGGCGCGCCGAGGTGCGCGCAGCCAAGAAGCCACGATGCAGGGCGACCGCGGGCCCTGCACGGGCCATGGGTTGTGGGCCTTTCCTTCGGCCGAGAGCTTGGAGCGCATGCTTGGCCGAGGCCCGCCGTGGCCAAACAGGAGCCCTTCGTTCGCCATTCTGCGCTCTCTGCGGTAAGACGATGACTGCAGTTCCCCGCCCGCGCAGCGGCTCGGCGCGAGCTTTCCCAGGGGCGACGCCAGTTGGCCAAATAGAGGACCATATAGAGAGAGGGGGAAAGAGAGAGAGAGAGAGAGCGAGACAGAAAAACGCGAGAAAGAGAGAGAGAGAGAGAACGAGACAGAGAGAAAGGCAGCGACAGAAACAGAGAGCTGCTGCGCGGCCGTACTCCTGCGTAGAGTGCGCCCGCTTGGCAGCCCGACGTTTTGCCGCGGAGGCGAGGCCTCGACTATGGTGGCCCTGGGCTTGCCAGCCTGTTCACTGTTCTCGCACCTTCCGTCGGGCCCCGCCTTTGTTTGACACTTGGACTCTGCGGGCATTGCTGTTTGTGCGGCCGTGCTCCCGCGTGGAGCGCGTCCGCCTGACAGCCCGAGGTTTCGCCGCGGAGGCGCGGCCTCGATTGCGGCGGCCCTGGGTTCCCCAGCCTGTGCTCACCTTCTTGGCTTGACACCTTGTGATGTGCCACTGACGCTAGCCTCTCTTTCGGGCCTGTCCCAGGCCGCGCGCGGCCGCTGCCGCCCGCCTTCTGTTGCGCCTGCTGCGCGGCGCAGTTGCGCTCACAACATCTCCGACAATTGTGGCGAGAACCCCCCTACAGTGGTCATTGTGCTGGGGCCGTCGAGGCCCAAACCCATTCCATCTCTCTCCCTTTCCCTCTATACATTTATCTATCTATCTATCTATCTATCTATATATATATATCTATCTATCTATCTATCTATCTATCTATCTATCTATCTATCTATCTATCTATCTATATATCTATATATTTATGTAGCCCATGTGTTATAGCGTGTTGCATTTTTCCCACGGGCGCGCGCGCGCCCCGCGGAATCCGAATCGACATCTCAACAACCAACGTCATTGAACTCTTTTGAATTGCTGTTTATGCGGCCGCGCTCCAGCGTAGACTGCGCCCGCTTGGCGGCCCGAGGTTTTGCCGCGGCGGCGAGGCCTCGATTGCGGCGGCCCTGGGTTTCCCCGCCTGTGCTCACCTTCCTGGTTTGACACCTTGCGTTGTGCAGCAGACGTTCGCCTCTCTGTCGGGACTGTCCCAGGCCGCGCGCGGCCGCTGCCGCCCGCCTTCTCATGCGCCAGCTGCGCGGTGCATTTTTGCCCACGACGTCCTTCACAGTTGTTGTGGGAAGTATTGTGGCGAGGCCGTCGTGGCCGAAACAAATCCCATCAAGGGGGCCCAGAGAGGCCCCCAGGAAGAAGCCCAACGAGGCTCCCACGAGGCCCCCAAGAGGCCCCCAATAGTTATGCTCCCAAGTGGCACCCAAAACTGGCTCCCAGGCCTCCGAGACCGCTCCAATGACACCCCAAACAGAATCCCTGGGGACTCTGACCAACGTCAGCGTCGTCGTCGTCGTATCCTTCTCTCGTTCTCTCTCTCTCTCTCTCTCTCTCTCTCTCGTTTTTTTTCTCTCTCTCTCTCTCTTTCTCTCTCTGTCTTCTCTGTATGTATATACACACATACATACATACATACACACATACATACATGCATGCATGCATGCATACATACATACATACATGCATACATACATACAGACATACATACACACATGCATACATACATACATACATACATACATACATACATACATACATACATATTACATACATACATACATACATACATACATACATACATACATACATCATATTAGATATAATGTTGCCCTTTGTTCCGATGGGTGCGGCCGCGCCCCAAACCCGAGACGACATCTCAACAGAAAAACGCCGAAACCGAAGCGGAACTGTAAACTAGGAGCGCCGAAACCGACACACATTGCAACAACAACAGCGCGCCGAAACCGAAACGAAATTGCAACAAAAAACGCCAGCACCAAAACGAAGCTACAACACAAAAGCGCCAACACCGAAACGAAACTGCAACACAACAGCGCCACAACCGAAACGAAGCTGCAACAAAAAAACGCCAAAGCCGAAGCGAAACTGCAACAACAAAAACGCCTAAGCCGAAACGGAACTGCAACGCACCCGCTGCGCGACGCAGGAACGAAAACAGTTGACAGAACATTCGAACAATGATACAACGACGCGAGACTAGTTAACATTCGGCGGCCACACAAAAGTTATCGTTTCTGATTTTTTGTTGTTCTGCCGATTCGGGGCCATTTTGCTGGGTTGGTTAGCTGTGTGTTGTTTTCTTGCCAACTTTCCAGGAAGTTACTCACTTTCTTCGAAGTTGTTCACTCTCGTGCGAAAAAGAGCAATTTCTCATTATAACTGATCTATGGGGTGGAAGCGACGGCCGTTCCGCGCGCGCGAATAGGAGATGTTCTGGCGCTGGTGCTCGCACTTCCGCTCGGAGGCCTCGTGGGGCCCCATGGAGAGGACATTGGGTTCCTCTGCGAGCTCTCTGTCGCATGGCCCTGAGCCCAGGACGGCCGCAGAAGGGCTGGAGGATCTGAAAGCAGCGAACCCTGCGTCGCGCGACCCTGAGGCCAGGGCGGCCGCAGAGAGGCTGGAGGAACTGAAGACAAACCGTCGGGCTCGTCCCAGGAAGCGCGCCGAGGAGTATTTGGCATGACCCTGGGGCTAGGACGGCTGCAGAGATGCTGGAGTTCCAAAAAAAAAGAAAAAAAAAGAAAACACAAAAAAACAAAAAAACAAAAAAACGCCAGGCTCGTCCCATGGGGTGGCTCTGGAGGGGCCCAACGAGCAGCCAGACTGTTTCAGGTGCGGCGACTTGATGAGAACGATGAAAACAGGAAGGAGAAACAAACTGTCCGGATTTGTTTGCGGCTCTTGGAAAAGCCCCTGGAGTCTCTGAGATGGGCGCCCCAGATGGGCGAAGCGCGATGCCGAGAGGGCGGCCAGACGGCCCGGGATGGGTCCGAGAGGCCGTCGGGGCGGTCGCAGAGAGCGCGCCCGCCCGGGTTTCAATTGGGCCGCGAGAGCCAACGGAGATGCATGGGAGGTCCGAGAGAGTGAGAAGTAATGGGCTTGTTTTCCACCACCACCACCACCATAAGTTGGAAGGGGAGGGGATCCCCCTCCTCCTCCTCCTCCTGATCTTCCCCCTCCTCCTCCTCCCTCAAGCAACTTGGGCTCAAGCATTTTGCCTGAGCCCAGCCTCTGGGCTTCCACGCAGCGCTTGAGGGACCGTGTCTCTTCGCCAGAGCCAGAGGCGAACAGACACTGACTAACACAGAGGCAGCATGGCAGGAGTACTACACAAGTTGTGGGGCAGGTGCAGCCAGTGCCAGACGTGCGAGTGGAATGCGGTGTTACTCCGCCGCCAACTGGCACGCAACAAGTGCGGCAACACAGTCGAGTTGTACCGTGGCAGGAAACGAGGAGCACGCTTCTCGTCGTTCGAGAGCGATGACGAGCACTTCTACGACGCTACGAGCGACAGCGAGGGCGAGAGCGTGCAGCCGCCCCGCAAGCCGCTACCGCCTGGCATCCTCAAGAAGGGCACTACAGGTGGCGGCAAGGGGAGCAAGGGCGCGTTTGTCCGTGGGTTGTCGCGGCAGGCGCTGGAGGCAGCCAAGGACAACGATGAGCTGAAGCGGGGCCTCCAGAATTAGCTCACGAAGCTGGAGAAGGAGTGGCAGCGCAGTAAGGAGCAGCAATTATCCCCGTCAGAGGCCCACCGCCGAGCTGATGGGGCATGGCGCACTGCGGAGCACGTGCGTGAGCAGGCGGTCGCCAATGTCGCCCGCCGCCGCAGCAACCTGGCGGCCGCGGAGGCGAGGGAACAGGCGGCGGCGCGCGCCCTGGCAGAGGCGGCAGAGGCCAAGAAGGCCGCGGCCACTGCACTCGCGAGAGCAGAGGGCGCGCAGGATTGCGGGTGAGCACACAAGGGGATCGCGATAATAAGATGAGTAACGTTGAGTGGGACGAGGGCTTCCTCTCCAACCTCGGCCAGCTCGGGGCCACGGAGGGGGGGCAGAAGGCACTGGAGGAGGTGAAGGGCCAGATGCAGCAGGCGAAGTCCCACCTCGAAGGGGAAGAGGCCGAGATCCAGGCCTGGCTTGCTAACACGGCAGAGCACGAGAAGATCATATCCGAGCGGCTGGCCAAGAAGCAAAAGTCCAACGATGGCAGCGAGCAGCCTCAGGCCACGGAGGCTCTAGGCGCGGCTGCAGGTCCTGCCGCGGGCAGTGGGGCGCAGCCCACCGCCGCTGCTCCTGGGCCTGCGCCCCCTGGGAGCAACGGCGCGCCTGGGGCCAGGGCCGAGGGCGGCAGGATTCGCAAGGAGGCTCTCAAGGCTGAGGCCGGCAGGCTGTCGGGAGCAAAGTTCAAGGCGGCGGAGCTGAGGTCCAAGGCGGCGGGCAAGGGGTCTGCAGCGACGGCGGGGCCATCGGCGGCAGATTCTTCGCCCGACAAGCAGTGGCGCGCAGGCCCCCCCCCCCCGGACCTCGACCGAGGGGGGCATCGGGGGACAGTGGCGCGATCTACGATGCCAATGTCACCAGCATGACGGACAAAGCATGGCAACTCATATCGCAGCAGGGCTACGCCATCGCGGTCATTGTGTTGCACGCTTCCCCGAGGATTGGTATTTCAGGGCGCAATCGCGTGAGGTTGTGCAGATTGGGTGGTATCCTGAGCTCAACGCATATGCCGCGGGAGTGCATCGGGGACTACAACACGCGGCCAGAGGCGGTGGCCAAGCCCAAATTCCTGGAGCAAGTCGGAGGTGACGTCGTGGGCACCTGCGCCACAAAGTACGGGGACGACAGCATTCTTGATTACGTCGTAATGAGTTCGTCGGCTGTCTCATTCGCGAAGCAGGTGGTCCCAATCAGGGATGTGACGCGGTGGCCCCAGATAGGCTTAGCCAACGCCCTGCGCGCGTCGGGCCAGCAAACGCAGACTCGTGAGCCCGAGTTCCCAGGGCGCTTACCTCAGACCCTGAAGCCTCGTTTGGATCATGCCGCTGGCTCCAAATCGGGCGCCACTAGAACTAAACTGATAGCTGCGCGGCATCCCGCCCATGAGAGGCGAATCGGATTTTCTGAAAAGCAGTTTGGGGACTGCCTCCAGGTTCACTTGGGACCTCGGGACCCTGCTGGTCAGCTGCGCCAGAGGGAGCCCGAGGAGGACCTGGATCCCAAGTTTCTGTTTCACTCCGAGTGCGAAGTGGACCCCAGGGCCAACGTGTTCAATTTCTGTAGCGATGTGCAGCTGCCGCGCACTCTCGAGCCTCTGGAAGAACCATTGGGCAAGGCCCCCCTGGAGCTCCAGCAGGCCAGAGAAAAAGGCGACACGCAGAGTCGAAGTTACAGTAATTCGGAGGCGCGTGCAGCAGCAGCAGCAGCAAGCCATCAGCATGTGCCCTGAGGCCAGTCCTGGGCCCTCGCTTGACGTTCCCGTGGCGACGTGGACTGAATGTAGGGGCCAGGTCGGGTTTCAATCAGGTGCTTCTGTGGTGGCTGCTGCCTCTCTCCACCTTCCCTCCTCCGTAGAAATTTCGCTCGAACCTCAGCTCAGCACACTTGTTCCTGGCATGTACGCTGGCTGGGCTTCAACAGTCGAGAGGGCCACCCATGCACCCCATGACATTCATGCCTGTCCCGGAGCCCCACGTTCAGAGGGCCCCAGGTTCGCCGCGCGCCCGGCTCGGACACGGGCACGCGCAGCGTCGGGAGGTGCGCCCCGCCACCGTTCACGACAGAATGGGAGGAAGCAACTTGATGTGCGTGGGCAGCTGCATGATTCGAGGCCGCCCAATGGCAACGCGAGTATCAACCCAGGTAAGGAGCTGCCCCGCGACCAGTGGATCAGCACCCTCAAGTGCCCGCTGACGGCGGCGACCCCAGTCTTGGAATCGTTTGTTGAAAGCGCGAAGAAGCAGCAGGCTCACGCGCAGAGATCGGCGGCCACCCGCGAGGAAGCTCACTGGGACCCGGCGCCGGCAATTTCGGCCGAGCAGGTGTATCGGAGCGCGGGGGATCCGATAGCCAAGGTTGGACTTGGTGTGGACACGATGGGCACAGCAGAGATTCAGAATTGCCACATGGCGCCAAGGAGTTTACGCATTTTGTTATGAAAGTTGCGACGTCAGCGACCCCCAGGATGGCCCACAGAGTTTGGGTAGAAAATATCTCACGGAGGACGACGTGCGCTCGACAGGCTGTCAGGATGATATTTGTTAAGAGTGTGGCCATGACGGGGCTTGAGTTGGGTAAGATTGGGTTAATGTTTGCAAAGACATCAGTTATCACGTGTACCTCGATACAAGACGCACATGCAATTGCCAATGAGGCCACCATCCAGATACCCCTCAGGCGTGAGTGGGATCCTGCCAGCGCATTGACGTGGTTGCACGCGACACAGCACAACTCAGAGGAGGCGCGGCAGTTCTCCTACGAGATCTACACGGGCAACATGTGGCTTGGGAATCATCGAGGGCTACTCGCCGACGCGAGGAAGTATGCGGAGCTCATCCAGTGGCGCCAGGCAGCTGGGCACTACTGCGGTGGAGGCATGGAGGACGGTGTGGACAACGAGTCATTCCGACGCCTACTGCACCAAGTCTCCCAGATTCCATGCGGCATACGTCGGGCTGAAGTTTTGATCAACATAACCACTGGGGGCCTCTGGACAGGGAAAAGGCAGTTCGACGAGCTCAAGGGATATCGCGGCAATGATGTTCGTGATCGTGGCCGAGAGCCACCAGGGACACTGACGCCCTTTCATCGAGCTTGGAGTTGTCCTAGATACACGGGAGCTTCCCCGTGCACGGCATCGGAGGAGCGCGTGGTCCAGGCGCTGGCCCACATCAGCACGGCGGTGCGCTTCTGGCTGAGGGGCCCCGCCCCACTCCGAGGGTTGGAGGCGCCCATGCAATCGCACGACGACCAGTGGGAACTCGGTGGGACCAATGAGCTGGTTCAGGACGTCTTCGGCAACGGAACGGCGGCAGTGTCGATCGAGACCTTCGGGGATGCAAGTGGAGGAATTGCCTCGGCCATGACAAGGCTGAGGAGGGTCTGTGTTGTGATTGTTTACACTGATACGATCAGACCAGAGCTGTTCATCTCTGGCGCGGTCTTTGGCTTGTTTTTGGGCGACCGCCAGGGGGCGCCGCGAGGAGAATTGGTGGCGCTGTATTTGGTAATTTGGATTGCGACCAGTTTGTCGACATATTCCACGGACTGCGAGGTTGCTGCAAAAGGGTGGTCTGGGAATTAGCTTGGCGAAGGACCCAACCATATTATGCAGTTGCGAATGCCGCAAGTGTGCTGGGTGGTGGCGGACGCATGCGGGCAGCGCCACTGGGACCTTCGGTGGAGCTCCCGATGGGGCCACGAAACGCTGTACTGGGTGGGTGAGACGCGGTCAGCAAGGGCTGTGCTGCGTGGTGGCGGACGCATGCGAGCGGTGCCACTGGGGCCTTCGGTGGAGCTCCATATGGGGCCACGAAGCGCTGCACTGGGTGGGTGAAACGCAGGCAGGGAGCAAGGGCTGTGCAGGGTGGTGGCGGACGCATGCGGGCGGTGCCGCTGGGCCTTTGGTGGAGCCCCCTATAGGGCTACGGAGCGCTGTTCTGGGTGGGTGAAGCGCAGGGAACAAGGGCTGTGCTGGGTGGTGGCGGACGCAAGCGGGCAGTGCCACTGGGACTTTTGGTGGAGCCCCCTATGGGGCCACGAAACGTGCGAGGGGTGTTCCAGAATAGGGTGTGGAACCGCATGCCAGCGCAGCCACTGGGGCCTTCGGTGGAGCTCCCTATGGAGCCACGAAACGTGTGAGGGGTGTGCCGAAATGGGGGGTGAAACCGCATGCGAGCGCAGCCACTGCAGCGTTCGGTGGAGCTCCCTATGGGGCCACGAGACGCGTGAAGGGCGTGCCGAAAAAGGGGTGGGACCGCATGCGAGCGCAGCCACTGGGGCATTCGGTGGAGCTCTCTATGGGGCCACGAACCGTGTGAGGGGTGTGCCGATGGGTGTGGGGTGGGGGGTGGTGGTGGTGGTGGTGGTGGGGGGGGGGGGGGGGGGACCACATGCGAGCGCAGCCACTGGGGCCTTCGGTGGAGCTCCATGGGGCCACGAACCGTGTGAGGGGTGTGCCGAAATGGGGGGGGGAACCACATGCGAGCGCAGCCACTGGGGCGTTCGGTGGAGCTCCCTATGGAGCCACCCACGAAGCGTGTGAGGGGTGTGCCGAAATGGGGGGTGGAACCGCATGCGAGCGCAGCCACTGGGGCCTTCGGTGGAGCTCCCTATGGGGCCACGAAACGTGTGAGGGGTGTGCCAGAATGGGGGGTGGAACCGCATGCGGGCGCAGCCACTGGGGCCTTCGGTGGAGCTCCCTATGGGGCCACGAACGTGTGAGGGGTGTGCCGAAATGGGGGTGGAACCGCATGCGAGCGCAGCCACTGGGGCCTTCGGTGGAGCTCCCTATGGGGCCACGGAACGTGTTAGGGGTGTGCCAGGGGGGGCGGAACCGCATGCGAGCGCAGCCACTGGGGCCTTCGGTGGAGCTCCCTATGGGGCCACGAAACGTGTGAGGGGTGTGCCAGAATGGGGGGTGGAACCGCATGCGAGCGCAGCCACTGGGGCCTTCGGTGGAGCTCCCTATGGGGCCACGAAACGTATGAGGGGTATACCAAGTTTCGGGTGGCACCGCATGCGAGCGCAGCCACTGGGGCCTTCGGTGGAGCTCCCTATGGAGCCACGACGCGTGTGAGGGGTGTGCCGACATGAGGGGTGGAACCGCGTGCGAGCGCAGCTACTGGGGCCTTCGGTGGAGCTCCCTATGGGGCCACGAAGCGTGTCAGGGGTGTGCCAGGATGGGGGGTGGAACCGCATGCGAGCGCAGCCACTGGTGCCTTCGGTGGAGCTCCTCATGGGGCCACGAAACGTGTGAGGGGTGTGCCAGAATGGGTGTGGGAGGGGGAGGAGGGGGGAGGAGGGAGGGAGGAAGGAGGCGGGAACGCGGGGCACCGTCTCTTCAAAACGAGGACCCAACACCACAGGATGGTTGGGAAAAAGTTTGAGCAACCATCAGGTACCGACACGGATCGGTGCCAGAAGTTAGGAATTATTTTGCTGGAGCGAGAGTATTGTGAGATTGTGGTTTTCCGGACAAGTTCGCGCTTGGGCCCCGTGGAGACGTTTGACGGAAACGACATTCGCACGCTCGTCATCGGCAACGCGTTGGCAGACGAGTTCGCGGGTTTGCCGCGGAGAGGACCCGTATTCCACAGGCCTCCCACACGCGCGTGCTGTGTCATGAGTGGCGTGCAATCCGTGGGCGCATGAGATGGTTGAGCTGCACTGGACAGCATGCAGGCCAGTCAGGAGGCCGAACGCGAGGTGAAGCGGAAGTCTCGTGGGGCCCCTTCGGGCCCGCCTCCCCTCCTTCCCCCTCCTCCCTTGCCAGCAGCCGTGGCTGCTGCCCCCCAACCCCACCACCGTCTGGTCGACTGCCTGAGGAAGTGTCTTCGTTGTTTCGGCGCGGCATTTGCCGTCAATGTGAAGGAGTATTGGGCGTCTGAGTGTACCCCTTTGTTTAATGCTTTGGGGGTCACCCTCTCACTTAGAAAAGGGGCGAGGGTACATACTGCGGGGGGTTGGGCTCACACTACACTACACACACACACACCTTGAATGTACATTCGTCCCCTCGGGGTAGGTTTTGTAGCGTGTGCAGGGCCGTCGCAGATGAGGCGATACGCTCGCTGAAGGCGCCATGTAGGCTTAGATTGTCCAAGCAAGGAGGGGAGTTCCTTGACAGGATCCTCAGGGGTTTACAGCCCAGGGTCCTGAGCCGAGCCGAGCAGTCGGCTCGCTCGAGCGTTCCAGCCAGATCAGGCTAGGCTTAACTGAACTTGCATCGCACCGCGGTCCGCTCCACTCCAGTCCACTCCTCCTCCTTCTCCTCCTCCTCCTCCTCCTCCTCCTCTTCGTCCTCCTCCCTTGTGGTCGTGGTGGTGGAAAACAAGCCCATCAAGAACTGCGAGAAGGCCAGTGCCAGAGTCATCATAATCTCCTATACGTTTTAAGATGCGTTTGGCTTGTTGGGGTGTTCTGGTGCATGTGGTTCGAAAAGAGGTAGGAAAGGCACCTGGAACGGCCCAGTGTGGCCTGGAGGAGGGTGGAAGTGAGCCCAGGAAAGCCGGCCCAGTGGGCTCCTGGAGAGGTCTCTGAGAACGCCTGGCGGTGCATGGGAAGCTAGCGCGTGAAAGGGGGGTCGTCGTGGGACCTGGCCGCAGCCGGGGCCCCCTGGCCAGCGGATTGAGCGAGGCGCGGGGAGGGCCCTAGGAGGGGTTGCGAGGGCTCAGAGGCAGGGGCAGGTATGAGAAGCGCGCTAGAGACAAGACCTACACAAAGCACTATTGAAGTCCATGCTGTGGGCATCGCACGCCGCGCCCAATGGGGCGGCGGATTGCTGTGTAAAAAGTTATTCAATCGCTTCGCTCATTCCGCTGGCCCATGCAGCCTCATTTCTGCCGTTTGCCAGAGGGTGGCTCGGGGGGTTCGTGGAGGCAGGGGGGCAAGGGGGAATTCCCTAGGACTGCGGCGTGAGACCGCGGGGTAAGGCCGCGGGACGTGGCCGCGGGACCTGGCACCAACTGGCGGCGTTCGGCCCCCCCCCCCCGACACCGCGCCCGGGTTGCGCGTCCGAGGCCGTTCGGAAAGGAGGAGGGGGATCGATGGATGGATAAATGGATGGATGGATGGATGGATGGAGCATCATTGAAGAGGCCCGGGCAACCGCCTGCGCGCACCAACGACCGCTAGGGCCCCAGATGTCAGTTGGGCCCGCGCCGCCGCGAGCACGCCGCACAGACGCCGTGGCGACGAGGGAAGGGCCCCGAAGCAGCCCGGACAGGCGCCCAACCGACCCTAGCTCCTAGCTTACCCACGGGCAAGCCGGGGGGACGGAAGCCACCCCCGCGGGGACAGAAGCGGGCACCCCCAGCAGACGCCAGCGGCCGCCCCCACACCCCGACGGGCAGAATTTCGAGGCGGACCCAGCAGACAGAGCGTGGGCCCGCCCGAGCGCTCACCTTCCGCGTGTCGCCGACCTGGCCAGCCTGGCCTTCGCGGCGAGGCGAGCCCGCTTGGCCGCCTTCGCTTGCTCCAGCTCCTGGGCCACGTGGGCGACCTGCGCCTCGAACTGCTCGCGGTCGGCGATGGCCCGGGTCTGGCGCATGTGCCTCTGCAGCATCGCGAGGCGGCGCCTCCCGCCGACGACCGCGCGCTCGTCGAACGCGTCGTCGGGGGCGGCCTCGCCGAGGCCGTCTTGGGGCCAGCCCCGCAGGGGGCGCTCCAGCACCTCGACGCCCTTCGCGTCGCCCACGCCGTCGTCGATCTCCTCCGACTCCAGCGCGTGGCAATGCGCGTCGGCCTCCAGCGCCGCCGCTTCCACGGTGGCAGCGGTCTCAATCTGGGGCTCCTCCACCTCTTCCAGCGCCTCGCCGACCCCGCCGCCGTCGACGTCCCCGACCACCTCGCTGCGCCCGCGAAGGAGGGCAGCCTCGTTAGCCATCAAGTGGCGCTCGACGACCCCGAGGTCCGCAGCGGCGAGACGGGGCGAGGAAACCGTGCGAGTCGCGCTGCGCGCGCCGTGCCAGGGCCGTCGAGGGCCGCGCCTGGCTCTGGCGCCAGCTCGCCGACTGACCCGCCGAGGGGCAGCGCGCGGCGGGCGCTGGGCGCAGAGCCGACGCCATCCTCGAGAACGAGGGTCGCGTCCACCACCTCCTGCGCGCCGAGTGCGGCGGAGTCGGCGGCGTTGGACGAGACGCCCTCCTGGGCGGAGTGGCCCGCGTCGCACGCGCCGTCCATGGGGGGGGCAGGAGTAGCTCGGCGGCGGCGGGTGAAGCGTGGGGAACAGCGCCGGCGCCGGCGCCGCCGTCCTCGTCGCCAACGCCGCTCCGCCTCCACCAGCGTGCTCCCGACGCCAAGGGCAGAGGCCTCGGCTCGGCAGCACTCCTCACGCGCTCGGCCAGCGCGAAGACAGTGTCTGGCGGCACGCTGCGCCCGCGGCGGCGCGCCAGGGCCCAGTGGAGCGGCGCCGCAGTGGAGGCAGCGCGCGCGGACGGCGCGCGACGGGCGGGCGCCGCCGTCACCGTCGGCGGCCTCCTCGGGCGGGGCCGTTGCCCACCAGGATGAAGACCAGCTCCAGCAGGGCGGCGAAGAGGAAGGCCGGCGCCGTTGCGTACCTCAGCTCACGAGCGTGCCGAGGCTGACCTCCACATCGGCCCAGCCGAGCAGACCTCTGCAGGCGATGCCTAGCGCCTCGCTGGATGGCGTTGAGCTTCGCCTTGCCAGCCTTCTGGATCACCGTGACGGCGGCGCTGACGACGTGCGCCGCCGCGTGGCGCCGTTGCTTGCCCAGCGTCGGCACGCAGGGAACGATCGCGACACCCCGCTCCGCGGCCAGACCCGCCGCGAGGATCGCCGCTTCGAGGGCCGGCCGCCCGACCAGGTCGCCCCTCAGCTTGTCGTCTGCCTCCCCCGTCGCGTCCGTGCCCGCCAGGGCCACGGCCTTCCGGGCCGCCGCCTCGTGCGCCCCCAGGGTCTTCCTGAGCTCCGCCTCGAGCTCCGCGACTCTGGACTCGAGCGCCTCCGCGCGCTCGAGGGCGCCCGATTGGCGGCCGGCGGCCGCCGGGCGCGCGGCCGCCTGCCTGGCGCACCGCGCAGGCCACGGCGGCCCGCCGCCGCTGCTGGGCTTCTCCGCCGCCTCGGGGGCGGCAAGGCAGCCGACTGCAGCCATCTCCCGAGCGAGTCGCAGCGGCAGGGCGCGGGTCGGACGCGGCCGAGGCAGGGCTGAGATCTGCTTGAGCCAAGAATGGCTACGGAGGAGGAGGAGGAGACGGAAAAACAGGAGTCTGCCATCATGGAGCGCTCATGGCGTGAGAGCGTGGAGCCTGACACCTACGAATGGCGTTCGGCCTATACAACCACCATGCCTGGATTGTGTGTCTGAGGCCAGTCGGATGGCTGATGGGGTCTCGTGGGAGGCTTCTCGAAGGCGTTTTGGAGGGGGGGGTCTGTCTCTGGGGGGCCTCCAGGGACCTTCTTGGGAGCGTTTTGTGGCTCTCTCTGCGGTGGCTCTTTTGGAGCCTCTTGGGGCCTCTTGGAAGCTTCCGGGAGTTTCCTCGGAGCGGCTGGGGCGCGAAGGCTGGAAATGTCCGTTCTGGTTCCTCCTCTGGGCCCCTCTTGGCGCAATCCTGAGGCCGTCTTGGCCAGTCTTGGGGGGTCCTGGAGCTGTTTTCAGGCTCTTTGGAGCTGTTTTGGAGCCTTTTGGGGGGCCTCTTCGGCTGTCTTGGGGCGATTTCGGGAGCCTCTGGGGCCGTCTTGGACGCTGCGAAGGGTGAGGAGGCGAATATGGTAAAAAGATACGCTTTGTGAAGGGAATGGAGGGATTTGTGCCTCGTGGGGTTCTTTTCGGAGGCGTCTCTTGGCGCCTCTTGGGGCCTCTTGGAAGCTTCCAGGAGCTTCCTCGGGTCATGTGAGGCCCGAAGATTCGAAATGTCCGTTATGGTTCCTCCTCTGGGCCCCTCTTGGCGCAATCCTGAGGCTGTTTTGGCCAGTCTGAGGTGGGCTCCTGGAGCCGTCTTGATGCTCTCTGGGGCTGTCTTGGAGCTTTTTTGGGGACCTCTTGGGGCGATTTGGGGAGCCTAGGGGGCCGTCTCGGACGTTGCGAAAGCTGAGGAGGCGAATTTGGTACAAATTAGCCTGACGAAGGACCCAACCATAAACAGTTGTGGATACCGCGTTCTGAGTCTATCGTTCGACGGGCCTCCCTGTGGGGCCACGAAACGTGTGAGGGGTGTGCTGAAAGGGGCGGGGAACCGCATGCGAACCTTGTCGCTGGGGCCTTCGGTGGAGCTCCCTATGTGGCCACGAACCGTGTGATGGGCGCGCCGAAATGAGGGCGGAACTGCATGCGAACCCTGCCGCTGGGACGTTAGGCGGAGCTCCCTATGGGGCCACGAAACGTGTGATGGGTGCGCCAAAATAAAGCGGCGCCGCCATGCGGACTGCGCGGGAGGAGGGGGGGGGCAGCGGGAGGAGGAGGAGGAGGAGGAGGAGCAGGAGGAGGAGCAGGAGGAGGAACGCGGGGCGCTGTCTCATCAAAACGAAGACCCCACACCACAGGATGGTTGGGAAATATCCGTTTTGCGAAGGGAATGGAGCGATGTGTGCCTCATGGGGCTCTCTTCGGAGGCGTCTTTTGGTGCCTCTTGGGGCTTCTTGGAAGCTTCCGGGAGCTTCCTCGGAGCGTCTTGGGCGCGAAGATTCGAAATGTCCGGTCTGATTCCCCCTCTTGGCGCAATTCTGAGGCCCGTAGCCATTTTGGCTCAAGTTGGGCCCGCTCAGCACACGGGCATGCTGAGGCTGACAAATTCAGCCCTTTGACACTCTATATGTGATCTCAACGCCGAGGCAATGGCTTCGATAGCGTCGGCGACCTCGCTCTCGGCAGTTGCCGTCTTGTGTGTCCTCAGGGTTGCCGGGGCTGACTTGCCTATTCACCCCCGCCGTCTGAATGGCCAGCCCGAAGGGGAACGCTCGTGGATGCTTGCACTTGAGAACGATGCTACGGACGAGGAGGTGCAGCTCCTTAGTCGGGAATTGCAGGATGGGCAGCACACCGATCCAGACAAGGGCGAGCTGCTCTTTGTGTGGGGGCGCACGACGGTGATCGGCCTCCGGGCGCTGCTGGAGAAGTTCCCGGGGCGAGTGAGGTTTGCCAAGGAGGACCTTCTTGAGAGGAAGGCCTTGGAACCCACCCACGCCATGGACAGGCGAATGTTGCAGCGGACCTAACCCGTGGGGGATCCAGGACATCAATGCGGATGTGGTCCGGGGGCGGGGCGCGGGGGTGAACGTGTATGTTCTGGTTACTGGTATCCGCACAACCCACGAGCAGTTCGGCGGCTGGGCCTTCGCGGGAATGGACGTGGCCAGCACGGGAAGTCTAACGTACTGCCTCCCAGACAGCACAACGTGCTTTGCAGACGACCATGGGCACGGTACCGCAAGCGCCGGCGTAGTGGGGGTCTCGACATATGGCGTCGCGGATGGAGCGACCCTCTGGTCGATGAAGGTATTCGATGCCAATGCTGACGGCTACACCGCTTGGTCCGTCGCTGCAGAGCAGTGGGCGGTTTTGACGAATGGTCTCAGGCCAGCGGTGGTCAACGTGGGTCTCTCAGGGGCTTTGCAATCGCCATCGGAGAAGGAATCAATCGAGTAAATACAGTCCTCTCCGCCTCATCTCTTTGCTGTTTTTCGCATCACTTGCTTTGCTGCGCACTGTCTGACTATCTGCAGCTGTGTATTGTACTCAAACTACGCGCGAGCGTACAGGAGATAAAAGGAGCGCGCCCGCCCTCGGCCGTCGCACTTCGTCGGTTGTCGGCCTGCCGGCCTCCTCCCTTACCATTCCTGATAGAGTACATTCGCTTACCGGCTACTTGTCTTATCGATGTCTCGCCCCGTACCCTCTACCACTGAGCAGAGTGAACACGAGTTCTTAATTCCTTTGTCATCTTACCCAGATTCTCAGAGGAAAGACTGGTTATCAGCCGAACGCACATAGTCGATGCGGGTTTATATCAGCCAGAAGTCTGGTCTTCTGATGAACCCTGCGACTTAGTCGCTGCGGGTATGAGCTATGATAAGACAGATGAAATGTCCGTCACTTCGCGAAACGCTGAACAGCAAGTTGTACAACAAGACGGACATGACCTACAGGAGAGCGGCCCGGGGCAGGGCCGCCTTCCCTCTCAGTAGCATCGCCACTCGGGTCCCTCGGGGTAAAAGTAGTGAAGAGGTTGTTGAGATGTCGGAAGATGGCTCTACCTCTGGAGTTCCGATTGGTAACCCGCATGGACGGAATGGCGCAACAGCGAGATCCAGACGAGGAGCATTCTCGTCTCTGATCGCCGAATCGTCGGAGTCGATCAGTCCTATTCCGATTTGCTGCACATGCATTCGTGCCGGCCGCTGGTGAAGCCAGTGGGTCGGGGGAAGCTCACGATTCCACGGGCGCGTGCCCCAACGTCCCAGGCGGATGGGGAGGCACGAGTGGAAATGTTCCCATCCCAATACCATTCAACGGACAATTTGGCCAGGCTAGTGATAAGCCAATCGATAGAGAGCATGAAATGATTTCCGTGGAGGAAGATTTCGAATATGCCAACAAAGGAGTTTCCTTGAGCCGCGAATTGTCCTCGTTAATGGATGCAGACCACCCCGCCCAAGGCGAGAGGTGGTCCCCAGACGGTTCAGATGAAGATGCAAGTGGCCTGACGCCTCAGGCGGACAAGACTGAGATCGACCATCAATCTCAGGCGAAGCACGATAGGGAGTCTACAGGACGGACTCCTGCACCTCAACTCAAGAAGCAGAGGAACGAGGATTACGATTTCAACGACTCACCGCTTAAAGAAGGTTTCTATCGTCCCGCCGTCGCCTCAGGCGATTGGCAGCCCTCGACGCCGGCCGTTGTTGAGGATGAAGAAATGGTTGAACAACCAGCTTCGCACACTGAGCTCATAAGACAGGATGAAAGGGATGAGGGGCTTCGAGAGGTGCCGAACCCCCCAGAATGCACGCATGTGCGTCCTCGATCGAACGCTGCGAGCAGGGGAAGACCCAACATGCCGAGATCAGGAGCGCGATCTGCTTCAAGGACCAACAGCGCTATCTCCATGCTTGACGCATGCTGGAACTGGAAATCTGACTGCGCGCCTCAGGCGGAGAGCAGATGCCCGGGAAAGCCCACAAGCCAGAAGGTGCATGTAGGCGTCCAGTATGTAAGCATTGCTCGGATGCGTGTTCTACATGCAGCAACCAATGGTTGCGTGTAGATTGCTCCCCTATGAGCGAGCATAATTGCGCATCTCTTCTCATACTAGCTATTCAGGATCAGGCTAGACTTGTTGAAGCTAAGACCCAGCAGGAGTTCCTGGCAAGCGAAGCGCAGCGGGCCGAAAGGGCCCGACTGGATCGAGAGGAGATGACTGCAACCATTGAAGATGTTCGGAAGACACTCGAGGCTGAAAGGCTCGCTCTGGCCAAGGCTGCCAGATAGCGGGAACAAGAGTTGGCGGGGCAGGTGCACCATCAGACCGCGGTCGCTAAGCGGCAGGCGGAGAAAGAAGCCGAGAACCGATATGTCGAGATGCTGGCTTCCGAACGACAGGCCGTTGTGGTGGCGACTAATCAGTCTGTTGATGCCCAAACCGTCTCCGCTGCTGTTGCGGCGGCTAGAGTAGAAGGAGAGAAAGTCGCTACAGCCAGGGCAGAACGAGAGAAACAGGAATTTCAAGAAAAGCTTCGAAACGCCAGGCTGGAAGCGGTTAACACCCAAGTTGTAGCTGCGAAAATAGCTGACCAAAACAATCAAGATCGAGAAGAACTCAAGTCACATGAAAATGCTAGAGCATCCCTCCAGCGCATGCAGTTGAGCAATGACAAATGCCCGCCGGCTAACCCGGCTGGGACGGACAGACGACCATCGCCGACGGCCCAGCCGTCTGGCACAGCGTCCGTTCCGCCTCAGTCTGACTTGATGACCGTAACGAATGCGGGATCGTAGACGATGCAGGTCAGGGTTGCGCCGCAGCCACAACCTGCGAAATGGGACGAGGAAGAGAGTTGTTCAGTTTGCTTCAACCCGAAGACAGACGATTGCGCTACTTGTGGATTGCCGGCCTGCACAGATCATTTCGATGCGAAGACCAAAAGATGTTCTACATGTACTCAGAAGAAGAGTGAAAGGTCAGCCGCTAATATCCGAGAAAAAAAGGCGAGGCCATAACAAATGCAGCCGAGTCAGAGAAAGGAATGATGAAGCTTAAAGCTACCATCGCAAATCCATTTCCGCACAGTGAAAAAGGACAAGAAAAAAGTGCCCACCTCAAGTTCGTTCGATATGCCATTACTTTCACAAGAAACTCCTGTGAGGTCTATGATGCGACCCAACTTTACCGTTCCTGGTCCTGCTCTCGAAGGTCCGGCTAAGCCGAGCACCCCTGAGAATGGTTTACCAATCAACATGAAATTGACAGGATCCAGCGACGATGACCGTTCTGTCAATTACTATCCATTTTCCAGGGATGGACCTGTGAGGCCGCCAGCGGCTAAGCCATCTGGTGGGGCAGGACAGGACAAAGAAGGGGATGACAAGAGTGACGCGCCGAGCACTGAGATCATGTCGACGCGCGACGACGATAACGCTAAACGACCAGATAAACCGCCTCCAGGGAGTCCGGGGGGACCGGGATCCTCAGATGGTGGAGGTGGCCGTGGTGGACCTCGGGGCCCAGGCGGGCCACGTGATCCAGGAGGTATTGATGAAAGTACACCGTTGGGCCAGTGGAGACAGGTTGGAAACAATCAGAAGGTTGATTTGTTGGACATCCCCGATGTTACAAACATACGGGAGTGGCAAATGCATTCAATCCGCGCGAGCGCCTGAGAGCCAAGCAGCACAGTGCTGGATTACGGAAGCTATGCGCCCTGCTGTGGACGATGAACAATTCAAAGAAGCAGGTCGCTTCCAGCGTCTTGACCTCATGGTCGCTACAAATCTGATTGAGAAATTTAACAAAATGCGCAGGAATCGTAACCTGCCCAGTCATCACTTACACTTTCTTCAGTAGATCACTCGAATGGAGTGCAGCGTCCAGAATGAGGGGAGACTCTTGACGGGACGTGAGATGGTACGAGCCATTTGTCATTGGTGCTCTGTTAGGTCGGAGTTAGGCCAACATCGTATTTCGCGTGATCTCTTCAAGGTTGTTATTGACCCCAACAAGCCAGACGCTGATCTGTATCATTTCTATAATGAATGGACAGATGTATACCAACAGCTCTACGGCGCCCGACCTCCGTCTGATGCAATGAGAGCTTCGATCCACGCACACTTCATCGAGCAATGCAGAAAGCCCAATGAATTGAATTTCGTTTGTCAACTCTATGATCTGCCCAAAGATAGAGTGGGACAGGGTGTGAAGACTTACGAATGGCTGATGGGGCAGATCGAAGGGATGATGTTGCGTGATAAAGAAGAATGGAACATCAGTGTGCATGAGAGTACTTTGAATCATCGTGCTCGGCAGGCTAGGTTGGGCGGAGGTGGAGGCAATGACAATCGACGAAATGCCGGCGGCAAAGCCGCTCCGGCAGAAGCAGCAGCCCGACTAGGGAAACCCACCGATGTAATGAAGAGTGGATTGACTAAGGGCGAGACGACGTGCAAGTACGTGCGCAAGGGCGAGACCTGCCCGTATGCCGGAAAGGGTTGTCCTTTCAATCATAAGAAACCCAAGGCTGCCGAACCGGCTCAGCCGGCTGCGGGAAACAAGTCTAATGCCGCTCCCGCCCAGAACAGGAACCCCAGAGGGAGATCCAATGACCAAGGCCGAAAGGGGCAGAGTCGGTCGCAGACCCCAATGGGCGGGCGTGGAAAGGGAGCGCAACAGAGAAACAAGAGTCAATCCAATCGATCGCGTGGGAAAGAGAGCAAGATACCATGCTGCGCGTGGTCGCGAGACCCCAAGAATTGTCGCGGAGCAGCAGACGGTTGCAATACAGAACGCAGAGGGTTGACCGATGCTGAGAAGCTTAAACGCGACAAATAGGAACAAGCGAAGCTTGACGCGGGACAATTTTTGGGGCATGAGCGCACAGCTAAACAAGCCAATGCCGCCGCTGCCAATGTCTCATCGTCTGGAGGTGATGGTGGCTCGAGAGCATCCAGCAATAACTCTGACAAGCGCAAAAAGGATGGAGACAATAACAAAGGCAACGGCAAAGGCAAAAGCAAAGACATGATCTGTCGCTCCTTCAAGGAAACAGGTAGATGCTCGCGTGGCAAGGAGTGTTGGTTTGCCCAGAGCACGACTGGTCATCCGCGACATTGGCTCCGCACTGGCGGCTCAGCCGTCAGTGCAGGAAGAATGATTTACATAATTTTGTTAAGGGTACCCTTTCTTGTCTTCCTTGTTCGACGGATGTGGCGAAGTCCGCGTCGGTCAAACCGAAAGCGGGGGGGTCGGAAGATACCCGCTGACCAAGTCAGCTTGGGCGCCATTGCGCGCCCCGCTCCGTTGTTTCGGGCCCCCCCAGGGCAGAAACAGACCAGCCCTAAATTTTTGAAGGTCTTTAATGGTACCGGCGGAGGAGACCGCAGGAATTCCTCCGACGGTGAGTTTCACCGCGAAGGCAGGGAACAAGTCGAGAGCC